ATATATATATATATATATATATATATATATATATGTATAAATCTTTAATTATTTATCAAAAGTCCTTCTTACGATAATGATTTTTTTCCCCCCTGGCTGTACGTTTTAACTCATTTTCTAGTAAGCTTTTGAAACGTATTAGAATGATTACATGAGCAGTTGCCCACTGCTCTTTCACTTCTTTTCTGGTTTTGAGCTTTAGACTCCTCTGACATGTAGTGATGGTTCTCAGAAATCTGGTCACTTGCCAAAAGTCTTGCCAAAAGTGTTTGGAAGCAATACTGATTTAAGATGTTTCCATTACCTGTAGAGTCACAAGGTGATCTGGGTTGGAAGGACGTTAAGCACATCTGGTTTCAAACCCCCTCTATGTACAGCCACACCTTCAACTAGACCATCTTGCTCAGAGCCCTATCCAACCTGACAACCTGATCTTGAACACATCCAGTGCCTCACCACCCCACAGTATATTTAATCTAAACCTACCCTCTTTCAAGTACAAACCATTCCCCTTTGTCCTGTCACTACATACCCTAAAAGTAAAACGTTCTTATCCAGCTCTTTTATAAGCTCCATTCAGGGACTGGAAGGACTCAGCAAGGTCACTATGCAACCTTCTCCAAGCTGAGCAACCACTCTCTCAGCCTTTTCCTCATAGGAGAGGTGCTCCAGCCCTCTGATCATCTTCATTCCTCTCCTCTGGACCTGCTCTGACATATCCATGTCCTTCTTATGTTGGGAATCCCAGGCCTGGATACAGCAGAGCAGGTGGGGTCTGCCAAGAGCAGAGTAGAGGGGCAGAATCACCTCCCTTGACGTGCTGGCCACGTTTCTAATACAGCCCAGGATGCAGTTGGGTACATGCTCTTCCACTGAACCATCCAGTGGCATATACAGAGCAATGCCTTGAACCAGCTCTAACTCATCTAAAAAGTGCTAAATTAAAATATTTTAAAGCCTAATTCTCTGATACAGCTGATTGATAGCATAGTCTCAGTAACAGTAAAGGATAATAAAGCTTGGAGGTAGAAGTACCAAATAACTTGTTCAAACAAAAACTACTAATACTTTATGCTCTACAGATTGTATTTTAAAGTCTCTGTTGTACTTGTTTTAGCACCATTCTCTTTTGCAGGTCAGGAAAATTTCCATGATCATTTAATTGAAGAAAAATTTATCCAGGGGTAAGTCACTGGATAACTTCAAAACTCTCTGTTATTCCTTCTTAGTGAATTGCTGGATTAACAATCAGTACTTTGGAGAAGATTGGTGAAAATAATGGAAATTTAGAGAAAATGTGGGGAAGAAATGCTTTATTCATTCTCCCAATATACTTCTGTATCTAAAGTATCTTTTAAATTTTCAGTCCTTTATGCGATGGCTAGAATTCACTAGTATAGTTCCACATGCTAAATTACTCCCAGCCCTAATAATTTGTGGCTCGCATGAAAAATTCTTACATTAGATATGTAGAAAGCAAGTTAAAATGTGACACTACTTTTAAACTCTGTTTTCTTCACATTCAGGTTGTCTGTCATTGCTTTTTGTCTTTCAGTTCCACACAAGAATTGGAAAGAGATATAGAGGACGTAAAAGTCTCTTTCCAGAACAAGACATTGGCCTTGCAAAGGTAGAATTTTCTTCACCCTTTATTTGGAGGTTTCCTCTCTCTGTGTGCATACATAGATGCATATATACATATGTTTGATTAAAACAGGATTTTAAAGTGATATGGGAGATTGGGAAGATTTTACCAGTGCACAACAGGAATGCAGATGGATATGCTATAAAACAAAAAAAAATTTGTAAAACAAAACAAAGCCCACCAAAACTAAAAACTTACCAGTTGAAATGTGTAAACCTGAAAGTTCCTTTACAGTTGGGAAGGAGTGACTGTACAGATCAGTAAGCATATTTATTGGCAGTATTTTCTAAATGCCTATGAAAAGATGTAAGATGATAATGTTAGACATCCCACATGTTTCATGGCTGTTTATTTGAATTCACACCTTTGCTCAGCTTCCTTTCTGCAGCATCTGGGGTTAATAGTGTCCAGATATGTTGGTCAAGAGAAGAAGGAGTTGTCACAAATAATCATTGATACTTCTTTCCTGTTCTGAGAGTTAAGTCCCATTATTTAAGAAGTGTGATATTTAAGAGGTATGGAGTATTTTGTTTATATAATTCCGATGTGAAAGTGGACAAAGGTGGAATTCTGGAAATTATCTTTTTCTATTGTTTAAATATCTGCTTCTCTCTGTTTCCTGCTTCTCACGGTTTTTTATGAGTTCTCATCAGTCATATGCTATTTCTTACAATATGCAGGATCCAAATTATGGATGCCCTGAGAAACAAACTGAAACAAGATGATGTGAGCTCACGGTAAGGTGTTCTTGGAGTTCAAATGTCTAGAAAGGAATAGACTGCACAGTTTCTTTCTAGATTATTTAATTTTACCTCCTGTAAAAGCAAGCTTCCTTTTCCTAGATTTGACAGAATGATATACTATCTACCTTCTGGGTAGAATCAGCATGATCAGACCTCATGCGCCCATGGTAGATTTGCAGTTGAGCTCTGAATTTACCCACCTTTGATTACAGAGATCATAACTCTTGATTCACTAGTGAGAACTGCTTTGTAGCCAAGAGAGCTTTTTGTCTTTGGTGCCTGAATTACCTGCATTTATAATAGCTGAACACATATTACTGGCTTGTAATAGGGCCTTTCCTCTGCTTTGCTGCCTTTATTAATTAACTATTTAGGAGAAAAATGTATTTGAAAAAGAACTGAAAGCATAAAGCATTTAAAAGTAGCTTTAATTTCCTACCCATTATTAATGGGTGGATGAATATGAAGTAATATGAGAAATTTAATTTCTGTCAGAAATACAACTAAGAGATTGCATCTCCATGATATAGGAACTTTAATTCGTAGCCATTTCCAGATAGCTAGGCTTTCTTGATACCTTTCAAACTCTGTGAAGTAAAATGTTGACAGTCTTAAATGAAATCTTAGGGAAACTGAGAGGGAAATAAGGGAGCTCTTTAGCCTCTACAACGGTACTGAGTATATTAACTAAAAAGAAGTGATATTGTAAGTGTAAAAAGAAGTGACACGTAATATTATTTTGTTGTTAGGAGAAGTGAGAAATTCTTTATTTAAACTAAATAAAGTTGATTAAAAAATTTATTATATTGAATTATATTTGCAGTGTTAAAGTATGCAACTGTTTCCTTCCTTAGTCTGATCCTGGAAACAATGAAACACATAGTATTGCTCAGCCAGACAATAACTGAATATCAGCAGGTAAGTGGCAGTTGTAGCCTCTGTTATTGTTCTGCTGGTCAATCAACCTCAGCATGGGCAGGAGCTCACTTGGGAAGCAACAGGACTGCACAAGTTACTCCTGGGTGTGAGTGACTTGGTGACGTGGGTGCAGTTCCAACTGCTGTCAAAATTATTGAGAGGATTACCTAAAGTGAGCATGTAAGTAAGTCTGTTTTAGAGTTGCCCATGGCTGTTTTTGTGGATTGAATTAGCATCTTTCATATTTTTGAAGACAAAGAGTTTAGAAAATACTTTTTTTCCTTTCAGCAAGCACGTCAGAAGGAAGAGCAGTTGATTGACATTAAAAGGAAAAGACTCTGTAAGTGTGTTATCTTATTGACTTTGGTTTGTATTTTAATACAGAGTTGATATTTTGAAGTTGTTCTTGTAGCAATATTAATTTACATGGGAAGTAACAAATCACAGTTATAAGACTTGCTAAAAGAATAGAAAGTACTGTAGAGATGAGCTGGTGTGTTCTCTACTTGAACATGAGACTGACCTGTTGAAGTGAGAGATGCAAGACAGCACTCAAAAACAATGTGGCAGCATTTTATTATTTCATGTAACAACCTCAGAAAGTTACACATTGTTTAGTAATTTAAATCAGCCCTACAGCACCTAAAAGACACACTTTTTGTCATGCTGCACATTTGTGAGGTGTTTGCAGAGTACAGAGGGGATTTAGTTATAAAGAAGTGTATGTATATTGGTATTCAGTAGTCTCATTACAGTGGGTCAAATTTAGACGTGACATTAATATTCAGAACTTTATATGGTAAATGTGTTCTTTAATGCTCTTTCATGACCAGATTTGCCACCAATTTTAACAGCTATTGTTTGATTCATGCGTAGGGAGTTGAATATATATTGACAGTAATGAACAAACACAATGAAATAACTGGTCACACGGGGAAAAATGAACATACTTGATATCTTTGCAAATAAAGGGAGGAATGCTCTGCCAGCATTCTTTCCACATATGAACTGCCCCTAAACACTATTAATCAGTCTAGTTTTTAGCCAGGTTTCCTATAAAAATAGTAATATTCACTGGTCATGTCCCTATGCTCCTTGTATGACTTTGGAATTTGGTTTCAGTGAAATCTGGAAGAGGAGTAAGGGTCTTTAAGAGGTATAAAAAACACCTATAAAAGTTATGGCACTCAAAGACAGGGCATGGGACAGAGGTGCAAATTAGTCCCTGTGTGAGGGAAATGCAGGCAGCATACGACTTACTTTCTGTTTTGCTGTTGGCCAGGGAGCTAATTGATGTAGTTTGATACAAGGTAGCCACAGCATATGTTGCCTCTTTCATAAAAGAAATATCTTGAGGTATATTGGAGGGAAGAACTGGAGTGTAAAATCAGGATTATTACAGTGGAAGTGCTTTAGGTGGCTGTGAAGAAATGATCTTCGGTTCTACAGTGCACCTAACTACTTAATGCTCAATTTTCCTAATAATGCAACAGCACTGACAAAAGATGGAGGACAGAAACTACAGCAAATTCAGACCATGATGGAAAGGCAAAAGGAGAAACAAGCGAGTATGAATGTCACTGAAACAGAGAAGATGCTTTATAAATTAAAAAAAGAAAGAGAGATTACTGCAATAATTCAAAATGTGTTCCAGGTAATGTATGGCTTTTAGAATCAAGTTCACAATTTTTCATTACACTCAAGATAACATACTGTATGGCAAATATAACTTAACAGCACATAACTGTGTTTCCTAAAACAATTCCTAAACCTAATTCCTAAATTCCTAATTTCCTAAACCACATTAACAGTGGTAATGGAAGAACTGTGTGTAAAAGGAAGACTTCTATTGGTTTAAAGGCTAAGACCATGCAATTGTCACAAGCATCTTTGCATTAATTTTTTGCAGGGTTTAGAGACACTCTATCAATCTGTCTTTGTTTCCTTAAAGGTACAAAAAAAATGCATCTTTCTTGAAAAATGTCACAGTAATGGGTGTATTTCCTTTGAATCACATCTGTACCCTGCCAAATGAGTTTCCCCATTTAATGAATAGAAGAAATAAATAGGTGTTAGTCCCATGTTACCAGTGAGCCTTCCTCTGCCCCTTCTGACCACATGCCTTCTGTTTGTGTCACCCCCTACAGCCCTGTGAAGCCTTGGCCTGGAGCCACAGTCAGACTCAATTCTTTCAGCAGCCTTTGCCCTTTGGGTTATCCATGTGTCACGGGATGATAACTAGTCTGTATACATGTAGGTCACCTGGAGTGTGGAGTCATGCAAAGTGAGGAAGAAAACCTCACAGTTTGGGTTAGGGTGGAAGGGTCTCAGGCTGCATAGAAGTGTCAAGGACAAAATGAGTGTTCTGGCTTTTTGCTCTGAATGCTATGGCTGCTACAATTTTGCATTGATAATGTTGTTACATTTCAAATTGAGAACGAGAAATTTCATGTTTTACTGGGATTTAGATTAGAGTCTAAAACTATCTCCTGGTTTTGTATTCTGAAAATTTTCTGAGCCCTAACTAGAGCAAATCCTCTGGTTAAATTTATATTCCCATTTTCAATCCAGAATGGCAGGGTGAGAATGTTAACTGTGCTATTTTGTGTTTGAGGCAAACTTTTTTTCATATCATTAAAAACGTTCTCTAGGTTTCTGTGTTTAAAGTAGAGGTAGTATGCAAGCCCCTCTAGGAAATAAAAAAGCGTGGATTTGGGGTTGGTTTTGTCTATGTATCAACAATAGGATCTGAATCAATACTTCCCTTTCTCCTTTTTTCACCCCATCCTGCCTACCTCAAAGGCTTGTGAATTTCAAGGGCTTTCAAATAAAAAATTAAAAAGCAGACTTTCTTTGAAATATTTTGCTAGGAATTGTCCTTTGCAAGGGCTTGTTTTAACCTGTAAATCTTTCTCATTTATAGAGCATCATCATTGGAAGCAGAGTTAACTGGGCAGAAGATCCGTCTTTAAAGGCAATTGTTCTACAGCTTGAAAATAATGTCTATCTTCAGTGAGCCAGGAGGTGGATACAGTGGTGCTTATTTTATACACAGTGCGCATTTTAACTAAATTTGAGAGATTATATGTATCTCAAAAACAATTTTATTTTAAAATGAATTGTAAAATTTGATCTTTCTGAAAGGTGTTCTTTCTAGAGAATTAGAATGTGTCCAAGCAATTCTTTGAAGTTAAATTTATCTTCTGGTGGACAGCAAACGTTTGAAGAGGCAGTAGAGCTGAAATGAAACTAACTGAAGACTCACTTTTCAAGCTGTCCTGTCTCAAGCACTCGTTTTCCTCTGAAAAGCAACAATAATGCAAGAAAAGTTCAAGGTTTCATGTAGAAGTGGACTTTGAAACAGAGACTTTGCTGTACCGCTTTCCTGGGGACCAGCAGGCTGTGGGGCTCAAGCAGGATGCTTGACCCTGCTCTGTCCCAATCAAAAGCTCAATCTGGAATATTTATTCGCAAGTCTGGATTTGGGATTATTTTTGTTATTAAGTCATTTATGGATCATTTTAAACATTATTTTAAACAGAAATTTTATGCTTTTTTTAGCAGTGATTCTTGTCTGTAGAGGCAACTGCATACTGCCAGCTGTGCAGCTAAGCAGTGTTTTAATTGTGTCTTCACTAGCATTTGGGCTTTATTTTGTTGGAGGTGTTTGATGTTTGAAAGAAATTGACTCCTGGAGTGTAGTACATTTTGGGTGTTGAGTGTTCCTTGTTTTGTTGGTGTGTAACATCACTTTAAACTTAGTGAGTGTCCCCTAGCTATTTTTTTTAATGTGGTCGCTTTTAACTAATATAAAAATAAAACGTTGATTTTCCTGAAAATACTTTATTTGGTTTGGAGGGTTTTTTTAACTCCTGATCCAGCGGTTCGTTTGGCAGGCCATGCCACTGCTCCGGGCCCCGCCCACAGGCGGGGAGGCCCCGCCCACCGCGGCGCTCGTGGTTGTGGGCGGGGCCCGGAGCTGCCCCTCAGGCTCGTCACCATGGGCAGCAAGATGGCGGCCGCCACCAGGGCGGTGCAGGTAAGAGCGGCCCCGGGACGGCGGTGTCTGAAACAGCCAGAGCC